AAAGAAGACAAAAATAAAAACTTCACTGCATTTTGTTTTAGGTATTCTGTTTGTTTTCCTTTTGTTGTTTATTCTCACACAGAACTTATCCATGTTGAAAGTATCTCTTTCCCAACAATTATTTCACTTCGAAAGAGGATAAGAGAAGACTCCCAGGCAGAATACTGGAAAAGTGGCAGAGGACATCTCTGTAGCTGCAGATTTGTACAGAAGGGCAGGGCCTCTGGAAATGCTAGTTTATCAATTGGCCTGTCTAGGGAAGAAGAAAGATGTCATTTCTTACCTCCTCGCAAAAAGTAAAAATAAACTTGGTATCCAGACAATTGCCTAGAAACCAAGAGACAATAAGAAGTCCATCAAGGAAGTTTAATTGGTCCCAGATTTGGCACTGATTGAAAATATCAGATTGCATTCCTGAAGTGCTGTGCTCTGTGGTGACTATAACTCTGAAACTACTGATAACCATGACAGTGATAAATTTGTGGTATTTTCATTATGTTTCCTTTGCTTTACTTTGAAGCATGGTTGACTAAATGAGTCAGGCAATCTTGCCATATTAGAAGCCCTTCTTTGGGTAGGATATTTGTGGAGATTTTTCCTCTTAGTTTTAAGAGTATTAATTGGCAATTTAAAACTGCTGTCATATTGCTAAGTGAAAAATTAAAGCATTACCTGGAAATAAATGTGTGTGTGTGGAGGGTCTGGGTGAAATGTAATATAAGGAATCTTGCAACTTTATCAAAAGGTACCATTTTTCTCTAGCCCAGATAATTTTAAAATATCACCCAAAAGAAGTGTATCTTTTACTTATATAACCTTTTGTGGGCACTGCCTTCTTTCTTCTTTGGATTTAAAGGCAAAAAGGAAAAAGTTTCAGGTGGTTACCTTTGACTGTGAGCTACATTAGATTTTGTACAGCAAGAAATAGATCTGGCAGCCTGTTGCTTAGAAAGAGGAGGTTTGGTTTGACAGCTAGAAAGCAGGGCAAGGAGCCATTGATCAGTGAACTAGAAGGGAAATTGGGGATCATGTAGTTGAACTACCTCATTCGACAGATGAGAAAACTGAGATAAGACCAGAGAAGTTAAGTGACTTGCCTAAATCATCCAGTGAGTTCACTTTTGGCTCAGTGTATGTGAGTGCTTTGCATTTAGAAAGTTCGTTCCGCCCCATCACTCTTCCTACAACTCCACGAAGTCCCACTATCTGTAGTAAACATTAATCTGCTCATGGCCTGTTTGCAAATCTCGGGGGAAGAATCTTGGTGTCCTTCCCAGTCATTTGGAAGTGAATCAAAACCTCCATAACGTCTGGACTTGGTTTGACATCCTTCGGTGGTGGTAAGCTAAGTCCTTTGCCTGTGCTGGTTGGTCAGCAGCCCACTTAGCCCCCTTGCCAGTGAGCAAGTATCTTCCCTTGATTTCAGAGAGGAAAGAGTCCAGTGGAGTTCAGGGTCTAGAATAGAGTGCACTTACTTTTAGGAAGTTGGTTGCATATCTCATGCTGTCCTGCTTCAAATCTGAAGTTTGAAGTCAAGAGCATAGATCTCAGAGCCAGAGTCCTAGGCCATGAGTCAGTGAGAAATCCAGAAACATCATGAGTAGTTATGGCTTATCTTTCAGAAATACATGCTAATTCAACTTTGTTAAAATAAGACTGTGTGGCTTGCCCACCCCTTTGTCAAAGTAAATCATTAACATGTATATCACCTTTCCTAGTTTGTAAAGCTCTTTACAGATCCATATTTCATTTTAATTTTCACAACAGCCTTTTTGAGCATTATTATGATTATAATACATATAATATAATACTTTATCATTGTAAAGGCTATGAAATACAGGCCCACAGAAGATAAGTAACTTGCCCGAGGTCTCTTGGCCAAGAGGCAGCAGAGCGAATGGGCTAAGAATGCAAGCTCGGGCCAGCTTGACTCCAATGCCAGTTATCTTAAGAGCTGCCTTTAAAAAGTTTACTCTTTTCTACTCCTGGGTAGAATTACAGCTATTTGCCTCCTAAACACTCTTCAAAATTTGTCTTCAGGAAACCCAATTCCCCCAAAATTTCTGATTGAGAACTAACTGCTGCCCGCTAGTAACATTAGGTTTAGGTAAGTCTTCCCTCTTCCACTGGAGGACCCGGGCTGTCTATGACTGCCGCCATCTCCTTGGGGATGAGTTCTATGGTGAGAAAGGCAGGATCTTGCAACCGCTGGGGAGGTGAGAAGAAAGAGAAAAGGGAAGACCCACCTCATCCCATAGAAAGGAGAAGAAATGGCTGCTGATCGCACACCTGGGGACACAGGTCCCTCTGGCTGAGCACCTCTCACCCAAGCCAGGGTGCGACTTCTTGCTTCAGCCAGGCTGGGGGACAGGGAATTATCGGCAGGCTGACTGCTGAGTGGTATGCTTCAGGGAATAAGTCTTTTTTTTAAATATTTACTCTTTTGAGAGGCATTCTCTGTACCAGGGTTTTAAAATACGTGCTATGGGCACAGTTCCAGTTTGATACTAACTTCCCACTGCAAGTTTTTTTATTATGCTAATGAAAAATTTCCCTGGGCCTCAGTAGATACATCTGTGAAATGAGAAGGACGGTTTTTGCTTCTTTTCCACTTCTGCAGAGTTGGTTCCCATGAACTACTGCATCTTCTACAGAGAAAGGAGTGACACAAATCCAAGCCCTCAGTGTGATCACTGTTGCTGTTTTTCAGGAGAGGAGGAGGAAGAAGGGAATTCCAATATATCTTCTGAGCACTCTATTAAATTTGTCTTTTGTGTGTTCATAGTTTTGTTTGCTTTCTTTTTCTAGAGAAACAGAATTTTGTCTTCATAATAGATATCAAGTAAAAATAAATTAATAAACATAAATATGCCCAGTCCTATCTCCATAGCTAGAAGTTGTGATGAATTTTTTAAACTACTGCCTTCATAGGAGTGTGTTTTTTAATCCTTTCTCCTCAAAAATGTGTTTATTAATTGACTGGTATATTCTTCATTGTACATAATAGATAAAATTTGCATTATATTTGTATAGATTATGGTTGCCCGGTTAAATTCGAACTTCAGATAAACACCCAATTGGTATCTTGTTTTTTATCTGTTAAATCTGGCAACTCTAAAACAGGTGTACCCCCCAATTACTTCTATTGATTATTAATTGTCAGTTAATCAAAAGTGAGGGACTGAGTTCCTGCTGTTGTTGACGTCATGCTTTCTCCCAGACACATTTATGAGAAGTTTTAGCTCCATGCAACTGCGGTCTTAATGATCAGGCAGCTTTCCTGGAAAGATTTTCAAAATCTATTATCAATGTAATCATCATGAAAATATTTGATGAGAACACTGCATCACAGTGTATAATAAATTTAAGTAGAAAAGTCAAAGCAGTGGTATTTTCATCGGGCCTTGGGATGTCAGGAGAAAATAGTTCCACACTCAGCGAATATAGATAGGTCTGTTTTGGGCTGTGTTAAATCCAATTGTGTGGAGGTTCTGAATAATCAGGAGTGACAGCATAAGCACTTTCTCTTCAAAGTGATTTTACAGAAAGCATTATTTCCTAAGGAAGGTACACATATAGCTCTCACAATGCTGAAAGAGCACTAATGTATCCATTTATTGGTGCTGGTGTCATGAGCTGGAGTTGCAAATTGTATTCAGATTTTAAACTCTACTCACTATTGCTGTTGGGCGAAGTGCCCTTCCCATGATCAAGCTGATTTCAAAGAGTTCTGGAACGCTTTTCTAGTTCCCATGTGGGAGAGCCTTCAAGGCTCTTTGCAGAAAGTTCTAACTTCACTTTGCAAAGCCAACTCAAACATAATGAAAAACAATAGTTTAGTTTTCCTCAATAAAAAGGGGAAAAAAGAATTTGAGTTGGGCTATGTAATTTCAGCTTTGCTAAATAGGTCCTTTGGAAAGTTGTGGGGGGAAACAAGTGTGTGATTTTGGTCTTGGCGTACAACTTTGAGACTAACTTTAAAAAAAAAATCTACCATGGATTTTGTAACGGATTTCTTCCCTGTACTATATGTTCTGTAGCTAAGTAATAAGTCTGATGTGGATGCCACATTTTTTTTTCAAAATCTTTGACTTTCCAGAGGAGGGTTAAATAGCTCTCTTAATAACTTGAAAGAAAAAAAATGTAAGGTTTACCACAGTTCTTAGTCACAGGCTAAGTTTTCAAGAGTTTTATGACTTTGAGCCTATGTGGCCTCAAGAATATCCCCCCAAGAAGAATGAAGCAGGAAGAGCTCAAAAGGGCGTACTTCTGACACAGAGATAGTACTGTCTCTGCACTGAGCATGCGTTCATGTTATCATTATGTAGACCTACGTGCCTGATCTTGCTTGGTTCCATTCGTCACCTGCTCTCTGTAAATAATCTTGGAAATATAAAGGGTGCTGAGTCATGAATCCATGTTTTCATACAATCTGTGTCTGTGTCTGTGTTCATTTTGGTGTTGTTTACAAGTCATTCCCCCTCTGACCCTAATGAGTGTGGACAGATAAGTACGTTTTGTGGATGTATTTTCCCTCACCATTAGAAGTTGTGCCTCAGGCAAGCAGGAAGAGTCATTTTCATTAAAAAGTAAACATAGAATCAATGGCCATAGCAAATTAATTGGTCTGTTGTCTGAGTAGGTTGGCATTACTCTCTTGAGCCTTAAATCTTCCCCGCTCTGCCTATAAAGATGATCATCTCCCCTATTTAAAATAAACAATAAGAATCTTCTCTAACCCTGTTTAATTACTATCTATGCTACTTCTTTTTTACTACAGAACCTCTTAAATCAGTAGGCAGAGGTCACTGTCCTCACCATTCACGGTGGCATTACTCTGGGGTGGGTCCAGTGATGCTGCCATGAAAGATGAAGCCTAGCCCTGCCTCAACACCACCACCAGAACAAACTGTGTTCCTGAGTACACTGTGCACAATGTACATTCTGAGAAGCATACACAGGATGCTTTCTTACCTCTGTCATTGTTTCTTCTCTTCTAGGTATCTCAGTAACGAAGAAGACACATACATGTAAGTAATGCATTTTTTTTCTTGTCCCCACGTTTTCTGAAGAGTTGGAATTCGCATATGTCTGGCTGCTGTGACCCTTCAAGTATAAACTAATGTTTCAGCTGTGCTCCATGGTCAACAGAGGTCATACTTTTCTACTTGTAGTGGTTGGAAGTGGTACATTTCCACCTGTTTGTACTGAGTGTGTGTTAAAGAGAGGCTAGATATATTCTGATGAATTCTAGTGACTTAAGCCATTAAGCTGTAGAAGAAAAACATAAAACCTAGCTGGGAGGATCAATTAATTACTTACTGACCATCCTTACTCTGGATCCTTCTTAGAAGACTTACGTTGCTAGGAAATATCACCTTGATTTCTTTTAAACTTTGATCTCCTTTTCCTCACCACTAGTTCACAATATAGGCCGTCTCGTACTTGTGTCTGTGGAGCAGAGATACCGACTGGGAAATAGGTGCTGTTGTTTGACCATGAGTGTGGCCTCCCGGGGCCCTGGTTAATGGCATCGGTAGTTTGATGTGGAAATGTGCGCTGGATTTATACTGTGTACTCACTTGCACTTCTCAGGTTCAACTGCTTTCATCAATTGCCTTCATTCAAACTGTACTCTAAGTTTACAAACTCATGTCAATGTAAAGTGTTGTGATTTGCAATCTGAGCAATGATGTTTGACTGTGCTTTGAACCTCAGGATGAAACTAATACATCATTGATGCAGGCAGTCAACTTTCACTGTACTGGACCAGCATATTTAGACTTTGAATTAATAGTGTCATTAGAATTTGATGACTATTTTAGATCACAGATATGTGCTACCTATGAGATGTGTTTGGCATCCTTCTAAGGCAAGCAGTGGAGACATTTACGGCACAATTTAGGGCTGACAAAGACGTGTCCCCAAATTTTTCCTAATTACACCTTTAAAATGTTTTTATTTCATGTGAAACATTTGGGGGAAAAATCTGTGTAACATCAAAGTAGTTTATCTTGTGCCTTAGTTGATTCTTGAAACCTACTCTTGGGTTTGTCTGTCTGTCTATCTGTATTTGTAGCAAACAAAAAAGCAAAAGAAAAAAGAAAAAAAAATCCCACCAAATCTGATGGTTGCCTGACTTTTAGGGTCCAGTCCTACAGTCTCTCCACGTGGCTCTCCCGTGGGCTTCAATGGAATATTTGAGGAAAGATGAAAAGGTCAGGCCTGTAATGGACACATGATCAGGACAGCACCTCCATCTTTCAACGCACAGTTCCAGTTGGCTGTCCCTCCATCAGGGTAGTCTGTGGCCCTTAGCCTTTTGGGGATTGTTTTGTTGTCGTCGTTGTTGTTGTTCTTGCTGTTGTCGGTGCATAATTGAGCTCATGATGACTGAGAGATTGACAGTACAGGAGACTGAAGTCCTCTGTATATCCGCAGGGCAGGCATGGTACAGAACGCTTCCTTGCACAGCCTTGCCCATGAGCTCGTCCCTGGCCTGGAGGGACCCACTCTAGAGGTGGTAAGTAATTCAGTCTTTCTGCTAGCTCAGTCCTGGGCCTCTCCCAAACAGGGGCGGATGATTGTGCCTACTGTTTATGGTGGTTTGGGGTATGGACTCCTGGCCACCTGGCAATACACAGAAAGCCACTGACTATTTGCATTACAGCTTGGCTCTTGGATAAATGGACAGAAAGTACTAGCTCAATTTCATTGGATGCCAAGGGCCCTCCTCAAGTAATGAGACAGAGACCATAGATTTTTGTTAATATACAGGCTGTCCATCCATAAGGATCTTCAAGGAATTGTCATCCCTGAGAGTAATTTCATTGGTCTATTGCAGAAATAATGACCTGAGGTTGGATTTAAACTCATGGAAGGATTTAGGTGACAGCATGAGAATGGTAGCTAGTGAGGAAAAACCGAATATCCAGTAAGAGGAAATAAGAGTCAGCCTGGCAGTGGAGGCTCGACTAACTCCATCAGCTATTCGCCTGCTTTAAAACAAAATCAGGATATAGCCAGAGTAGGTGGATTTGGATTGCCTTTCTAATGAAGAAAATGAGCAGGGCAATTCTTACACATTAAGCGTAAAATAAATGTAGAAAAACATAAAACAAAGCTCCCCTTATGTAATTCAAATATTAAACTGACAGAAAGATTTAGATCAGAAATCATCTTTGTTTTTTTGGTTGGTGCTTACTTTCATGATTTGGGGAAGGAGACCCAAAATCAAAAGGCCAGTCAGTTTGGGATAAATAGCACCTGAGTAGACAGTGGACACAAAACTTCACACATGCCAAGAAGAAATTGAATGGTCCAAGTTGTATGTTAGTAAAAGTCTTATGCCACTTAAACGTGGAGATTGTTTTTGTCGCCAAACTGAGCGGAAAGCCCATCGTATTTCTGATCTTAGCATCTCTACAGGGCCCACGACTTGTGAGGAGGAAGAAAATCAACCAGTTCTTTCTCTGATAACAGTCACTTAAATGACTTCTTTAGCATCTGTCGGATTTTTCTTGAAAACAGAAATGTCCTAACTTGCCTATAAGTTTTCTTAAGACATTAAATTCCAGCTCCTCTTAAATCATCTTGACATCTGTTCTTCAGAAAGTTTCACTATCAGTGAAGTGTATGAATTCATTTTTGTACTGCCTCACGACTGCCATTTTTAGCCAGGGTTCTGGAAACCTTGGTCCAGGCTTGACTACATCGTCATCGACAGCTGAAGTCACCCCCTATTAGCACTTTCACTCTGGTTTTCCTAACTGCCCTCACAGAGAGATTGTTCAACTTACAAATTAACATGTACAGTTGTAGAATATATTATCAGACCAGAGTGTCAGCTCGCAGGTACACCAGTCAGAGGTGAAAGAACTATAAAATGAACCTGAATAGTTGTGACACCTGATAATATTTTAGGCCACCTTATTATCTGGAAAGCACAGGTGTTGCTTTAAAAAAAATGCTTTTGGGTGAGTTGAGCCAGAAATTCCCAGGAAAGGAAATTTTATTGTAGCTTCAGAAGAATCTATAAGCGTAGTCTTCGGAGAAGTTATTCTCCTGAGTTCCTGAGAAGAAAATAAACACCTTTTGTGTTTGTCATTAACTTTACTTGACCCATGGGGAAGGACAAAGCTTTTGGGTTTCTAGTACAAAGTAATCATGACCAAACTGTTCAAGGAAGTCTTACATTTTTGATGTTCTTCAATTGTTGTCAGGAAATGTTGCTGTTGTGTTTTGGTGTGGGAACATAAAAGGGAGTCATGACTTGTGGGATAGAGACATACTGGAGAAATGTTACACTATGGTACAGATTTCAGTTTAACTTTTGTGGTGATTATATAGCACCTGTATTTGGTTGGACACTTCCAAGATTGTTTTCGCTTTGGTGTTTCACAAGTTTGTTCTGGTCTCTTTCCTGCTGACATAGTACCATGTGGATAAGTATCTTTTTCTTGGAATCAGCTGCTATCTTGGTCTTTCTTATTTGCCAAGGACATCTGGTCATTTGCTGCTGACCTCTTACTTAATCTAATTCTCCTTGGATGACTCTTCACTCACTAACATGTTAGAATATGGCAAATATGGAGGTAAAAATGTGAAAAATTCAACAGATCATCTTAGCTTCTTCCAGCTACTGGGAAGTTTAGCACTGTGGTGTCATAACCTTAGGCATTATATCAGTCAGCCACCACGTCACAGACCAGCAAGATAACTGGTAGGCTTCTGGGTTGCTTCCAGAGGCAACAGACCATTGCTACTTCCTTCTGTTCTCATCTTTGTTTATATTTCTCATTCTTTCTGTTTCAGCCTGTTCTGCTCGCCTTCTTCCACACTCAGAAACAGGCACTAGCAAACATGAAAAAACTGCAGGTTACTCAGGAAGCACTCAGGAAAATGTATCAGCTTCTACACTGTAGTGTCACTCTTCCCCCAAAAATAACAAAATAAAATATGCTTCTGAACCTGCCAAAATATTTTAATTTTAACACAAATTGCATTAAAAGATAATTTAATACATTATGTTTGGTTGTAGCAGACTAATACCTAAAATATAAAATTAAAACACTGTATTATTTATAGAGATGTAGTCCTCAATGGTAAAAAAATATTTTAGAACAAATCAAGATAGCTCTTGGAGAAATAATCCTTTGTATCTGTAAAAAGAAAGAAGTGTTTATTGCAATCATTTAAAGTGGAGTAGGTTAACATATTCTCCTTACCCTAGAGACTTGGCTTTGAATTTGACTTAGATAAAATTAGTTTTGAGGCCTCACCCTCCTCTCCTTAGGCATTTGTTGATATCGCAAAACCAACCCAACAATTTGTCACGATTGTTGTCATTTTACTCAGGAGGTCCAAGAACCAGAATAACCTTATTTTCTAGTGTTCTTTTCCTTTCCTTGAGTCCATTCCTTTTGATTATAGACTCTTAGCAACCCCAGACTTGGGGCTCACCCACGGTATTTTCACAGTCCAGGAAAACTGAAGAACCATTCTTGGCAAAGCTAATGGAAGGGGCTTTGGTTATATAGTTAGTAGGTTGCTGTGACAACCCATGTGACTCATGGCGTGACTCACAGCAATTATAATTTCAATTGCTGGCTGGGTGTCTCATTGAGACAGACTTGAGAAGAAGCCACGCTGAAGTTTTTTTGGTAGGCTTCCATCTAGAGCCTGCCTACCCATTGACAAATGGTCAGGAAAAGAGATAACCTAGTGCTCACCGAGTAGCCAGAGGATTCATTTCTTAGCTTGAGGGCCACTGGCCATCCCAGATATTAAGCTTGCATGAAGAGGGGCTTGCTGGCCAATTAGAAGGCTAACCAATGGACAACCACTTATTTAGGAACTACTGCGTGCTGACAGGTTCTTTGCCTTCAAGGAGCTTATGAACTAGGTTGAAGGTAGGAACTAGGGGTGGGGTGGGGGGTGGGTAGTGGAGAGACATAGTCACAGAAGACAGTCTGAAACACAAATACCAAGTGTACCACTTCCAGAAAATTCACTTCACAACTGGGGAGAG